GGTTTGTATCAGTCTATAGTTGAGTGGGTTAGGAAGAGAGCTAACATGAAGGAGTTGGGGATTCTGGATTGGTTTCCAAATTGGTAAAGAGTATCGTCTTTGGTTTTCCGGTTCCAATCTTATCAGTATAATGCATCAACCCTGTCACTGTCTTTGATATGCTAAGAATCTATCTCATGTTTTTGAGTTTTTGACTTTGTTGTACTTGATCAGATCCTTCTTCTTTCTTATGTTCATTCTGTTGCATTATTGGTTCCTAACTATGCATTTCTTCTTGGGTGGTGTTTTACATTAAATTTCCTGCATTGGATTCAAACAATGGATAGGTATCATCCGGACAAGAATGCCAACAATCCCGAAGCTTCTGAACTTTTCAAGGAAGTTGCATATTCATATAGCATTTTGTCTGACCCAGAAAAGAGAAGGCAGTATGACAATGCAGGATTTGAGGTGATATTTGTTTTCTGTCATAAGAATCCTTGCAAGAGAATTGTCGAGCCCACTATCACTCTCCCGTTTCATGCTTAATATCCCCAAATAAATGTGTCTATTCTATTCTTTCGCTCGATAGAATAACGCCTGCTCTTTTCTTGTCTCACTGTCCTCGTAGCTTATTAAAATCATCCAATAAGTGAACATTGAACATTTCTTGTATGGTTGTTTTTCCTGTTGTCACTTAACAATTAATTTATCTATATCTCCACGCGCATTATTGTAGCTATAATAAGAGTTTTTTCATTATATTAGGCCCTCGATGCTGATGGAATGGACATGGAAATTGATTTGTCAAACCTAGGAACTGTAAATACTATGTTTGCAGCACTATTCAGGTGAAGCTAAACATTTTTTCCTAATTCTCTTAAGAGACCAATCTGTTTTTAATCCAGTCTAGTAACCTTTCGTTCTCCTTAAAAATGTTGACATTCAGCAAACTCGGTGTGCCTATCAAAACTACTGTGTCTGCCAGTGTTCTTGAAGAGGCTATGAATGGAACTGTTACAGTTAGACCCCTTCCGATTGGTACATCAGTTAGTGGGAAGGTGTGAAATCAGATTACACAACTTTCTTCTTGCCTCAATTATTTGTGTATTGGAACTGAAGCTATCTAATATCTCATATCAGGTAGACAAGCAATGTGCTCATTTCTTTGGAGTTACGATAAGTGAACAGCAAGCTGAATCAGGGGTTGTTGTTAGAGTAACATCAACAGCACAAAGTAAATTCAAGGTATGCTCGGAATGCCCTTTGTTACCAACTTGAAAGTTGTTTTCACCTAATTTACGCCATGGCTAACTTTGAAATCTGTCTATCTTCAGTTGCTTTATTTTGAGCAAGATTCAAGTGGCGGCTATGGATTGGCCTTACAGGTAATTGTTATTAGAAGAACGTTGTTCGTAGTATTACTATGTTACTGAACTGTCTTTAGATAATGAAAGAGGCACCCTATTTTCTTTTTCTCTTTTTAATACTTGGGAAAACTTTCGGCTAGTTCTTAAAAAGGTTTTCATTTTCTCGTTGTGATTCCATAACTGCATGAGGCTTCTGTTTGTTCTTGCAGGAAGAGAGTGAGAAAACAGGCAAAGTAACGTCAGCTGGCATGTATTTCTTGCATTTTCAAGTATACCGAATGGATTCGACAATCAATGCGGTATGCAAGTGCTGAACGGTTTTCCTTTCATAATTAGCTAACATCTTAGAAGAGCAGAGTTGTCAAAGCAATCCATATTGTGCTTATTGTGCAGTTAGCTGTAGCCAAGGATCCTGAATCTGCTTTCTTTAAGCGACTGGAAGGTCTTCAACCTTGTGAGGTTTCAGAACTGAAATCTGGCACGCATATATTTGCAGTTTATGGTATGAATTATTACTCTCTTTTGCAATAGCTGGAACTTTTCTGAGACCTTAGTTTAACTGGTTTCTAGTTACTTTTCAGGTGATAATTTCTTTAAGACTGCATCCTACACGATTGAGGCACTCTGTGCAAAGACCTATGAGAATACAACAGAGAAATTGAAGGAGATTGAANCTCAAATCTTAAGAAAGAGAAACGAGTTGCGACAGTTTGAAACAGAGTACCGAAAAGTAATTTTATACTATCGTGAGCTCACTCAGTATATAGGGAGGGCATGAAACCTAATTACTGTTTATATTCTTTTGCAAGGCTTTGGCGCGCTTTCAAGAAGTTACCAACAGGTATACCCAGGAGAAGCAAACTGTACGTTGATGAATCTCTTATCTTTTTATCACATTTTATATATTTTTTTGCGGTGATTAAGACACAATGTTTCTAAAGACAGTATCTATTTGATCGGCAATAGAATATGAGATGTCTGATACAAGAATGGAAAATGACGAATAGTATATATAGGTAGGAGGGATCACATATTTGGGTCTCGAGATCAATCTTGCCGTTGGGAAAAGCCTCTTGGCTTTTGGGAGAGTTTGTACATCACTGTAACAAATCTCTTGATTACTCTTGGTTTTATGTGTCGGTTTGCTCTTTGTTCATAGGTTGCTTATGGAGTAGTTTGACGAATTACAGCTGAGAAACAAAGGAAAACTTTGTCGATTCTACTGTTCTCTATTTGATCTTAATAGCATTCTTGTTTTTTTTGTGTGAATGTTGTGTTACCAATGCTACTACTAAGCACATGGACCACAGCTACAAACCCAACAGCTCTTGCAGATTTAGAAGTTTTTGATTGGTCTTTCTTTGGATGATGGTTGGTGCAGGTGGATGAACTGCTAAAGCGACGGGATTCAATCCACTCATCCTTCTCTGTCGTGAAGACACCAAGCAGCAACAACTTAAGCAATGGAAGTAGCAGCAAACCTCAGGGAGAGGAATCAAAAGGCGATGGGGATAGTGCGGGAGAAGAAGGCGGATCAGAGAGTAAAGACAGATCCAAAAGGAAATGGTTCAACTTGAACCTAAAAGGATCTGATAAGAAGCTTGGTTAAAAGTTAAAACCAATACATGGATTTGTTCCTATGTTGGTAAATTCAAATCTCACCTGGGTTATTGGTATTTTGTCCATTAGTTAACTGATCCGTCGTCACTGGTTGCCGTTCTCTAGGCAAATATGTTCATTGGATGATCCATAGAAAAGTTTTTCAACTTGGGTGTTTCAGCTCAGCTCTACTCTCTTCTTGATATGCAAACATATATATTCATTGCAAGTTTTTGAAGTACCAATCTTCTTCTCTTCGGCCCATATATCTTTAGACCACTGGCCGTTAAAACTATAAAAGAAATACACTCGAGCAAGTTTTAATAATTTTATTCGAATTTTGAGAAGGAAAAATCATTTTTAATTACACGAAGTATTGGTTTATATGTTGCAAACTATCTCAAGTATACAAATGTGTTCTAAACTACACAAACTATTATAGTTTTCTTATAGGTTCAACAAAAAAAAAAAAGCTCTCAGGCCCGTTTCCCGAGTGTAGTCTTTACCTTAGGATAGTTCGTGGTTCCTGAGCTTTATCCAATGGAAATTGCCTTTTTTACCATTCTTTTTCAAATCTCACTTTTTACCTACCTCTTTTCTAGCGTGGATTAGAAACAACTCAGCTCAACTCGGCCGAGTTTGAGTCCCCGACCACTGGCTCTTCCCTCAGGGGAGTCACCACCGTCATCTCGTAACCGGCGGTATCTATGCAGTGCTTTGAGGTACTTTCGTTTCAATTTCCTGCGTTCTCAGGATCCTCTTCTCAGTCTTCCCAGCTTCTATTTTCTATTTTGAAGATTTCTTGAAGAAACTAGGCACAACTGATACCTCCTTGTGAGGTCTTTACTGAACTTTCAACTACCTTTCGATTAAGGTCTACTACTTTCTGGGACTACTCTTCTCCAGAAGTTACCATGTCTCACCGGTATTCAAGAGCGGAAAAAGGAAAAGGCCTTGCTTCTACAAGTACTTGCGTTCGTGAAGAACCCATTAGATTTCCAGAGATTGATCATTCGGTACTTATCGAAGCTAATAAGCTTACCCTCATTGGTAGGGTTTTAAACCCTGATATGACAAAACCAAAAGCTGTTTTAGCTTTCCTGCCTACCCTTTGGCCGACTGCAGGTCAAATATCAGGTAAAGAACTTGGCTGTCACAAGTTCCAGTTCATTTTCTCTTTGGCTAGTGATATGGAGCTT